AATCAATTCAAATGTATCTAATAAATACATTTAATTACAATTTAATACATCTTTGTATAAAACCTTTTATTTTCAATGCACCGCTCCACGGTATGTGCTCTTCTCAATCAAGTCTAAATGCTTCCCCAGAATTAGTACTGCTGTCAACTAACAGATGGATCATAGTAGCATCTTTCATCATAAGCACAGGTGTAATGAGTGTCAGCCAAAACAATGGAGTAGATTAAACCCATCAAAAGTACAGGGCAACCAGTTGATTCAGTATATCATTTAAAAAACATAGAATGCACTGCTTAGTACATGATCACATGCAGCACCATATTAACACAACACACAATCTACATCCACCCATCCTGACTAGGTAACGTTACACCATCAAATCGTAGCCCATGCAACGTCTAGCCATCCGTACATGAGGGCAAGCTGACATTCAATTTATGTCCCGTTAGATATACAAACATAACTGATACTATGAATAACCTGCCTCGCTCGGCATCTCCAAACTAGATCTACTGCGGGCGGAAGGCACTGGGCGTTTGGCTTGAGCTGTTTTGACCCGCGTTAGCCGCTAGCAATGAGCATTGACCAATAATAAACCCGAATATTACTCATAAACCCGTTTGATATCGTCAAAACATTCAGGAAGATACGAAATAAAACGACATGTAACATCGATCAAACTTAGCAGGCTGTATACTGTGCGAGTGTCGCGTTACCTTTCAGTAATGTAAAGCTGAATCGCTCCTGTCTCCGGTGGGACAGAAAATAAGCGCCCAGTTTCGGAAGACTGACAGCGGGGCGGATACATTTCGCCTGGACGGGAGAACAAACTGGATTGGAGGGTTAAGGCAGCGGTACAAACGAAGATGGGCGGGGCGACGTTTGATTGACAGAAGTAGTCGCCTATTGTGAAAGAAGACCCCTCTGCGAACGCACGATATTAACCTTTCGAAGGGGCGGGGTTATATTGAGGTTACATAAAGGGGTCGGTACTAAAAAGGCAGGGATGTGGGTTATTTATAATCCTAACAATAAATATCGCTATACGTTTAAAAAAAAAAAAAAATAGTGCACCCAGCAATAAGCCTGATGAAATAAACAGTGAGTACCAACTTTAATTTCGTTTTTTCCACACTCGAAGCTAGAATGTTAACTTTTATTGTGCTTTTATGGTTGTTTTGGGGATAATTCGCCCAAAAATGGAAATTCTGTCATCATAACTTAACCTCAAGTTGTTCCAAACCTGTTTTTTAATTTCTTTTCTTCTGTTGAACACAAAAGAAGATATTTTGAAGAATATGGATAACCAAACTGTTTTGGTCCCCATTGACTTCCATATATATATACTGAATCAACCACATTTTAACAAACGATATATCGAAAAATCGATTTTTTTTTTTGCCCAGCCCTATACCTTACCAAAACAGACTGTAACAGTATTATTTAAATTATATATGTAAAAAAAAAAAAAAACTTGCTAGACAACAAAACCTTTTTACACTTTCTTTCAAATATTTCCAAATAATCATGTAAACAATACACCCTATAGTCTTTCAGCTAAAGGGAACGGTTGGATGCACGTCTTTCGGCTGTGATGGGCTGTTATAACAACAATAAACAGAGAAAACTAGTGGTACAACTGACTGGAAAATGACAGTACAGATCAATGGTGACTAAGACAACCACATAAGTGGCTGGTTCTCAGAAAAAGTGGCACAGTTCCTGGTGGTTGAGCCTGAAGAAAATACTGTACCAGTAGTTTTGGAATTTATACTGACCTGGATGCACAAAGTTAGTTTATTAACTAACAGCAGTTAGTTGCCGGTTCACAGTCATAATTGATGAAAAACACTACGTTAAACATATCATTTATTAGTAGTAGCAGTATAATAAAGCAGCTTTGTCTAGACTGGAGTCGCTTGTGAGTATAGTTTGGGGTCAGTAAGATTTCTGAAAAAGCCTGCATTTATTAGATCAAAATACAGTTAAAACAGTAATATAAAATTGTAAAATATTATTACAATCTAAAATAACTGTTTTCTGTTTTACTATATTTTAAAATGTAATTTATTACTATGATGGCAAAATTGTATTTTCAGCAGCCTGAGTGATCCAGTCTTCAGTGTCACATGATCTTTTCTAATATGCTGATTTATGCTAATTAATGTTTGTGGAAACACTGATATATTTTTCAGGATATTTTATATATTGAGCAGAAAGTTCAGAACAGCAATTATTTGGGGAAAAAAATATGTAAATGTATTTAATTTAATTACATTTAAATGTAAATGTATCTAATCAATTCAAATGTATCTAATAAATACATTTAATTACAATTTAATACATCTTTGTATAAAACCTTTTATTTTCAATGCACCGCTCCACGGTATGTGCTCTTCTCAATCAAGTCTAAATGCTTCCCCAGAATTAGTACTGCTGTCAACTAACAGATGGATCATAGTAGCATCTTTCATCATAAGCACAGGTGTAATGAGTGTCAGCCAAAACAATGGAGTAGATTAAACCCATCAAAAGTACAGGGCAACCAGTTGATTCAGTATATCATTTAAAAAACATAGAATGCACTGCTTAGTACATGATCACATGCAGCACCATATTAACACAACACACAATCTACATCCACCCATCCTGACTAGGTAACGTTACACCATCAAATCGTAGCCCATGCAACGTCTAGCCATCCGTACATGAGGGCAAGCTGACATTCAATTTATGTCCCGTTAGATATACAAACATAACTGATACTATGAATAACCTGCCTCGCTCGGCATCTCCAAACTAGATCTACTGCGGGCGGAAGGCACTGGGTGTTTGGCTTGAGCTGTTTTGACCCGCGTTAGCCGCTAGCAGTGAGCATTCACCAATAATAAACCCGCATATCAACCCGTTTGATATCGTCAAAACCTTCAAGAAGGCACAAAATAACACGACGTATAACATCGATCTTGCCTAGAAGGCTGTATACTGTGCGTGTGTCGCGTTACCTTTCAATAATGTAAAGCTGGGTCGCTCCTTTCTCCGGTGGGACAGAAAACAAGCGCCCAGTTTGGGAAGACTGACAGCGGGGCGGATACATTTCGCCAGGACGGGAGGACAAACTGGATTGGTGGGTTAAGGAAGCGGTACAAACGAAGTTGGGCGGGGCGACGTTTGATTGACAGAAGCAGTAGCCTATTGTGAAAGAAGACCCCTCTGCGAACGCACGATATTAACCTTTCGAAGGGGCGGGGTTATATTGAGGTTACATAAAGGGGTCGGTACTAAAAAGGCAGGGATGTGGGTTATTTATAATCCTAACAATAAATATCGCCGTCGGCTATGGCAGTGGTGCTCCTTGAGTGATTATGACTGCTGTCCAGGAACAGATATATGGAAATCCTTAGTTACAGACAATACCTTGATTTTAGGGTGTGATTAAGAAAAATCAGTGAGAAGCTATAGAAAATATTCAATGAATTCACAAATAGACAGATGTTTTACAACTTCATTGCATATTTTGAAATCGTATTTGTGCTGTGAAACAGGGCCAGGAGTTTGTGGGGCCTTTGACAAGAGCATGAAAATAAATTAGGCCCAATAGTGTAACATATGGTTTCTTGGTTTTAAGAGAAAGCATTTTGCTTTCAATTTTAATCACATGGGCTTTTTTTTATGCTGTTCAAATCATACAATATGCCATAACTTAATTAAAATAAGGTTAGAAAATGATAAATAAGGCATTTTAATGTAAACATAACTTTTTGTAAATGTTTAAAAAAATGATTTTGTGCAGCAAGAAACTGGAGAAAAACTGTGCAAGATATAAGTGAAAGTGTAAGAACATATGTGAAAAACGTGCATTTCGGGGAAATAATGAAAAAATATAACAAAAACATAAATAAATATTTGAAATAGGTCCAAAAATACATCAAAATATATTACAAATATAAATAACAAATAAAATAGTAAGTCTGCAGATTATCATTTTTTATGTTTAAAAAAATGATTTTGTGCAGCAAGAAACTGGAGAAAAACTGTGCAAGATATAAGTGAAAGTGTAAGAACATATGTGAAAAACGTGCATTTCGGGGAAATAATGAAAAAATATAACAAAAACATAAATAAATATTTGAAATAGGTCAAAAAATACATCAAAATATATTACAAATATAAATAACAAATAAAATAATAAGTCTGCAGATTATCATTTTTTATAAGCAATAATTTATTTAAACATTAAGCAGCAGAGTAAAAAACGACTAGTAACAGTTTTTTTAGTGATTAGTCTGAGCTTATATTTAACGCAATCAGGGTTTTTAGTTGGTCATCGCTGTTGTGGTTTGTGCGTCTGCTTCTGGTTAAGGTTTGTTAGGCCTACTAAAAAAAATGTAAATAAAACTGTAGTGTTTGATATCATTTGGATTCCAGCGGGAAATTCATAATGTAATAAACCAGGTTATAATAAACAGATCATTACAATATTACTAAATATTCTTGTGTCGGAAGTTGATATGCTCCTCCCTTGGCGAGAGCCCACATCACCTGAATGCGTCGAAACTTTACTTTCATTTGAAGCCACTAGATGTCAGCGGAGCAATGTTAGGATGTTTTCAGCTCCGTGCCACTAAAAAGCGTGAGTTTTGATAAACTGTCTTCCTTTTGAACCCGGTGTATATATTTAGAAAAGAGACTTGCCTATGAATCAAATAACTTACATCTTATTAGATTTTATGAATGAATAATACAGACACTGTTACCGATTTCAGTCATAAGTGTTCATTATAGGCCATCATATGCAAAATAGCCGATTACTAAATTAATATTGAACAAATATGCATGGGAGAAAACTAGCATATTTTATGCTAGTAAAAAACAGCACTATTACAGCTGTTCGTAATAATGCCAGTAAAGCTGAGTTAACTGTGACTCAGAGTGAGAGAAAGAGAGAGTGTAAAGCTCCTGGTTTTGGGGCGGAGATTTCGGAGTTTTTATAGCACATGGCCACACACAGTACAGTACATAGGCCTATATTCACTCAAACACTAGACTAACGGCTTTACCCGGATTTACCTTAACTTGACCTCATCTCACACAAACTCCAGAGAGGATTCTGCTGGAATCGTTCATCTCATTACTGGCTATTAATCGTCGTTGTTTGTAAAAACAATGCAAGGTAAATAAGAGGAAATTATCATCTTTGAACGCCAACACAATGACAAAGACAAAAGTTGAGGCAAATCCTGAGTCTAATGCACGCTCATCCCATCACGAACGGGACGGGCAGGATAAAGCCTGCGGGGACGCGAGCAGCCAGCAGCCGTCAAGACAAATCCACAGGCATCATGTGCAACACATGACGTCAAAACAACCCCAGGCGAACGCTTCGTCTAAAATCATCCCAGCAGCCTCACAGAGCAAAACCAACGAGGTTCACTCTAAGAAACCAAAGCGTGGAGCATCTGTCACGCCAAACATCCACACAGGGAAAAAGGAGATGAGACCAGAGTCGAGAAAACGCTCCGATAGCAATCGCAGTAAATCGTGCGAGAGGAGAAAGCTGTCGGATGGCAGCATCACGTCTGATGACCTGAGTAAAGACTCGGGCTGTGCTACCGGGAAACTGTCTTCCACCGACAGCAGCTCTGAGATCTCGGACGCATCTGAGGAGCATAAGCAGTCCACTGATGCCCAGTCACAGCATGGTGAAGTCTGTCACAGAGGTACAGACGAAGAGATGATGGACGATTCAGCTGAGCAAATATTATCAGAACACAGAGAAGAAGATGGTGTGATTAATGCCACCCTGTCTCCAGGGTTTGGCTTCGGAGAGGGAAGCATCTCTCCTGGAGACCAGCGGTCCTACGTTTCTCTGGACAGTCGCTTGAACTTGAACGCGTGTATGGCATTTTCGGATCTGACTGGAGACTTTGCTGATGGGGTGCATGCGGATCTGCTGAGAGAGATTGATGACCTAAGATCAGAAAATGGATATTTAAAGGTGAGGTTTGTTGATTCATTTATTTGTTTGTTAATTAATTGCAAATGGCAATGTCTTGCAATGGTGTAAATTATGCTTGGGAGAGTTCAGGTAGGTTAAGTGGGACACATTTCATATTTGCTCTTTAAATACAAGACAATCAAATAAAAGTCATTTATAACTGCCATGAGGGTCTTTTGTCATTGTGAAAATGTTTTGTCATTTTTTGTCTGACGCCATCATAGTGGACATGATCAAGCATCTGACTGATCTCAAAGAGTGCATATCACCAAATGAAGATGCTCTTCTAAACATAAACATTGTAGTTTTTAAAAGATGTCTGAATTCTATTACCAAAACGATGTATTGTTGTACAATTGCATTTAATTATTTGTGAGAATCTGTTTAAAGTACCTTCACTTTACCCATGTTAGATAAAGTAGGAGAGTACTAAATGCAGCCTGTTTTGATGGATTATGACTATTATTAAGCATCTAATATCGTCAGCCAACATGGCATTAAACCATGTCATATGATGTGCTGGATTATGTAAAATTAAATCAAAACAATCCCACAGTGTCTTCTACATGTATAATACATTTTAACAGTCACATAAACCAAGCAAAAATAAATTGCACGTGATCTGGCTTATACTGTAAGATTTACTCTCTTCTTAGAAGATTATACTTTCGCTAATTGGCTCGTGTCATCCCTCATTGTCTCTGACATGCAATAGAATGACAGGTTCACAGTGAGAACGAGACACGCTTTACTGTGATTAAGTGCAAGGTGTCTCAGTAGAAATCAAGAAGTCAACAGAAGTCCCACCAATGCATCCAAGAAGGGCAGTGCGTCAATCTTGGCACGCGCCCCTAGTTCTGTGGGTTAATGCGCACAGCATGCTGGCACGCAAGATGTGAAGCCAGTGCTGTCTTGGATGAGTTGGTTGAAGACTAACATTGATAGCGATATAGGAAACACCCTTTGTACACACAACTGAAGTAGAATGCATTCATTTAGCTCATGTTTTTCAATCAAAAACTTCCATTTTAAAACAGTTATGGTGGCTGTGAAACTGCCACATATGATTCAATTCTATGAAGTTGATGTTTACATACACCATTTTGACTGCATTTTTAGGACGAAATGGAGGAGCTCCGCTCGGAGATGCTGGAGATGAGGGACATGTACATGGAGGAGGATGTTTACCAGCTGCAGGAACTCCGACAGCAGCTGGAACAGGCCAACAAGGCCTGTCGCATCCTCCAGTACCGACTTAGGAAAGCAGAGAGACGCAGCCTGCGTGTAGCCCAGACGGGACACGTGGACGGAGAGCTTATCAGGACACTTGAACATGATATTAGGGTGAGGATGTGCTTACAGTCATAATTTGCTGGTGTTTTCTGTGAGAAAGTCTTTGTATGTCACATAAAGCATAAAGAGCAATAACTGACATTCAGGGTGTAATTAAATAGATGATTCCCTCATGATTTGGGTGCAATTAAGTTACAGTAGTGTGTGTATAGGAAAACCACTGTTAGGGTTTTGGATGCAGTCCATGGCATTTATCGGGACAGGATGTTTATCTAAATTGCTCAATGCTTAGTGCCAATTAAATGCTGAATAGTAAGTCACTAAATGAGTCAAAACTCTGTTTATATGAATCAGCATGCACTCAGATGGATTGTGTAAACCTTCCATTGTGGTTTGTGACCCAAATCGTGGTGCTAAGGGTTTAGTGAGAGCTGAAATATCATTTTGTTTTATAGTTTGACATGTGTAGGGAGTGGTTTTATTTTTGGAAGTGGTCCAACTAGTAAAATGAGGAGAAAAACCCTCGGTTTTCTGTTTGGCAGACAATTGGTGTAGTTCAGTTTGTGGTGGGCCACTCACAGCATAAGCATTTTTTGGTTTGAACTTCCCAGCCAATCAGCAACAGAGCTTTCTGTAGGAACGTTACGAATTAAAAACGAATTTACACAGCAGGGCGACCCATATAAAATGGCTGTTTTCTTTTGAAATCTGCTTCCAGACTATGCAAAACTAATTCCTCAGCTTTCTTCCGAACCCTTTGTCTGCGCAGAATTTAGAGTGAAAATGTATTTTAGAGAAACACAATGTGAAGTATACTCAAGGTTGAATGAAAGAGTGTGTGCATTTGCATGTGTGCAGTATATGTGTCAAGGACTATAGCCACAGTATCCAAGAGGGGAAGTGTCCAAGCACAGCTGCTGGTGTATTGTGGGCATGTCCATGACCAGTCTATATTAAAGGCATGTGAGAGAAATAGATACCCTCCTTTCACAAACATCACTTTTTATCAATTTAATGCATCCTTGCTGAATAAAATATTCATTTCAAAAAGAAAAACAAAACCTGACCTGTACTGTATATATATATATATATATATATATATATATATATATATATATTATGCCCTATATCACTTTAAAGCAGTACTTGTTTGTTTGTTGCTTAGACTCCTTAGTTTCATGATGCCGTTAGGATTAGAATCTGACCTTTACCCCAACTGTATGTAGTGGGTGTAAAAGACAGCTGACTGCTTGGGTAGGGCACAGAATGATCTAAGGGTCTGAATTCAAACCACAGCTGTCATTCTCACTTGTAGATGCAGTGAGGGGGAAAAGAGAGAAAAAATGGGGCAACTGAAAGGTTGAAGAGAGCGAGAAAGAAACCACTTAGAAATATACCTGAAAGGGAGATCCTTGTCCAACTCTGGCTGCAAGCCATAATGCTTAAATGTGGGTCTTATGATGTTCAATTATCACATACATGCTAGTAAAAATACTAAAAAGAAGGCATGCTTTTTGCTTTCACTTTCTCACAATAATAAAAAATATAGGCCGCCACCATTTTACCAACATAATGCACCGAACAAGTCCAATTTTATTGGCAATGAAGGCCTGTAGGTCTTTAATAACGGCACGCATTCAGTTTAATCCAGGATTCAGTGCTTAGAAGTGGATCCCAGCAGCTCAGCTCAGCTCAGCTCAGACAGCTGCTGCCCATTCCTGATCTTCACCAGCAGAACAAATCAGCTACAACCAGATTACCAAGGCCTCATGTGAGCCTGACCCTACCTGAAACATGATAATCTACATACAAACACTTTTTACTCATCCATTAGAGTCAAAAATTTATCATATCAAAACATCAAGCTATAATATGATGAGTACTATTCTTTAGCTTGGTGTTGCACTTAACAGCTTGGATTGACTCGATGAGGTTATTTTTAACATGTAAAGAAGATAATTTGAAGTTTACATGCTCCTCCTCTGCTCTTTGTACTTTTAAGGGTTTGAGCCTCCCAGACAAACCAGCAGACAGATAGACTGACTCAAGCCAGCATTCTTGACATACTTGGAGCAGTATGGATGTTTGGTGTAGTAATGGAGTTGGGGCTCTTGCCATCTCACTACACGAACATGATTGAGTGTGTTTATTAGGTGCATGCTTTCCTTACAGTCACACATTTCATTGGGTATTGGAATGCAGTGGACAGCGGTATGATGGAAAATAACAATGATTAATATAACTCAAATGAACATTTATGCCCATAGGAGGACATCATCTTAGGGGACAAATGGCATCAACCCACCTATACATAGTAAGCTGTGTTATATAAGCTGCTGAAATGTCCTCGGACTAATTATGGATATGGTGCATTCACAGAATTCCCTAAAGAGACGAAGTTTGAGATCAACATCCAGCAAGAGTGAAAAGAAGCTCTCTTCACAGGTGAGTTGGAAGTTACATTAGTCTTAATGATTGATTTGTGAAGGTTAGTGCTGGTTTGTTGCAGGTCTTGGTAGAGGGCCAACATTAGTCATCAGAGTTCCTCTGATTTTTGATATATGCCAACTGTTTTAACACACCTGTGTCTTCAACAGGATGACAGTGCTGATTTGAAATGCCAGCTCCACTTTGCCAAAGAAGAGTCTGCACTCATGTGCAAAAAACTAACTAAGATTGCCCTGGAGAGTGAGGCGATGCGGGAGGAGCTCGCCAAATACCGTCTGCTTTATGGTGAGGTGGATGAAACCCAGGCTGCAGCGGGCGCCACTAACTCCGCCCACACCCGAGAAGCAGAGGTCAAAGTTCACTTGCGGCTGGTGGAGGAAGAAGCCACGCTGCTGAGTCGTCGAATAGTGGAGCTAGAGGTAGAGAACCGTGGGTTGCGAGCAGAGATGAGTGAACTGCGTGAACGAGGAGGAGGAAGCCTGGAAGAAGAGGAGACGATGAAGGGGGCCAGTGAAGGATTAGCAGTGCCTCTCCAAACTGGGGAACAGGGGGAGATGCTTAGAGATGGATGTCTGGATGGGAAAGAGAATGCAGATGCAACGACTACCCACAATAATATGCAGGAGAACCAGATGCATGTAGAGGAGGTTCATGCTTCTATCAGCCACATGCACAGAGAAGGGCCAATTGGTGGGGAACAGGAGCTTTCTGCAGAAACTAAAGCGGAAGACGGACAAGCTCAGTGTATGTCAGACTGCACATTTGGTGTGAAAGATCTAGAGAGTCTTCTTGCCATCCATGACCAGGCGCTGCTTGTCAGATCGACTATCCAGCTCCTAACAACCCCAGCAAAAAATGGCCTCTCACCTACATGTACCCATAACACTCCTGCTGGTGCTCCCTACTTAGGCAAATCTGCAGTAGATCCTCAGTGCAAAACACATCAGTGGCTTTTGGACCCCATGCTGAGTCCCTTGACCAATGGATTAGAGGTGTTACAAGCACAACTGCGTGCTCTTGTCGAAAAGTTGGAGGTGCTGTCAAACTCCAATTCAGAGCACCCTGGGCCTGTTACAGAGAAGAATATGTTGCATTTTGGCGAAGATTTAATTGAAATGAAAGAGGACTCAAAGAATCAAGCAAGTCGCGAACTTCCATGTGAAGAAAATGTTGGAAATCAGTGTAACCAGGACAGCTTAGTGCTGCTCAATCTGCAGCTCCAATGGTTCATCCAGCAGTGGAGGCAGGGAGAGAGACCCACAGCTGATGGAAAGAGCCTGCTTGAGGTAAATTGGGCAACGACGTTTACTATTGCGGTCAACCATCTTTATCGATGAAGATGGTTAAAATTTTCTTTATAATGATTCTTACTTGCAGTTGAAATAACAGTAAATGCTTTCCTGTAGTTCAGACATAGCGCTAGCAATGCCAAGATCAGGGCTTCTATTCCCAGGGAAAGCAAGAACCTATCAATAAATAAATGTAAATGTACATTGAATGCAAAATAAAAATGCCTGCCAAAAGCATATATGTATATGTTGTGTAGTTGGGTGTTTTGTCAACTTTGGGCACTTTTTGGGCCCTTTATACCTAAAACACACTTTTGATTTATTTAATTCGCCCACTAACAATGTTCAGTGATACAGTATGTATACATGAATTCCCATCCAATCTTTCCCATCTCATCATGTATTGTGTGTTAATAATGTTCTGTTGTGGAAAATACATGTTTACCATTTAATGTGTCCTAAATAGGCACAGTTACATAATATTTTTCACACCATTTGCATAATTTGAGCTAATATATATTTATAGAGAGATTAAGTAAATGGGAGTAAGATTGAAAATGATGCACAATAAAATATTCTGGATTTATATAATCCTTAAATGCTTTTTCTGTAATTCTATATTTTTTTCATATATTTCACTTAATTAAAAAAAAAGCTTTATTAGTGCCAAAATTCTTCAGTGTGACATTTTGTTAAAATAATAACAAATAATTTCACACAATAAATGTTAAAATGGTGTAAAGTTTATTTCACTCCGAAACAACCAATTTTATATGTCGTTTCGTTTCAGATGTATTGTCAGAATGATCATCATCTGCTTAAGGACACAGAGTCAAAAGCATGCAAGTATAATCTTCAACAGAAGTGCAACAGTCAGGTATGAAATAGAATGAAGATTACTGGGGTAAAAATAATAGTGTTTCAACAAGACTTCCAAAAGCATTTCATTGTGCAATACATTCAGCCTGAAAGAACGTCATTCAAAAATGTGCCCTTTTCATAATATATTATATCTGAACATGCCTGCTCTTTGAGCATAGTTGCCCAATAGCATTGTTCCTTGACCTGTTGCTCATTTCCAGTTAATCTGGTTGTGTTCCTGTTGCCCAGTGTTCATTCACCACTGTATGTTCCTTTCTCAGGTAAGCAGTGCCCTGCTGTCAGACCTCAGGACAGCACTGTCGGATCTGTTTTCTGAACTTATGGAGCAGCACAGGGCAGCCCAGTTTGTCATCCGGCAGTTTGCTAAAGCCAAAGCAGCGTGGGCTGTGGAATGTGCAGAGCTCAAGAGCCTCATAAGCAGGGTGAGAACTAGAAGATCAGTTTAAATTCCCTTCAGAGAGTATCAATGAACCTGTTGTCTGCTTCTCATGTCGTCTCCTCTGCTTTCTTCATTCTTGCGTCTGTAGGGACTTATTGAGGAAATTGAAGCAGAAATGTCATCAAGTTGTTTGTGTTTGTTTATAGCTGGATGGTTCAGCTGGGAAGGCAGGAGTAAAGGGTCCATCAGACCTGAATGCGGCTTTGCAGAAGGACCATATTGAGAAGCTTCAGCACCTGTTAGCAGAGTCCTACACTGCAGTGATGGACCTGACAAGACAGCTGAAGGTCCGTGAAAGCAGCTGGAGCTCTGAGCGGCAGGAACTGCTAGAACACCTGAACCATGTGCGTCTAGAGTGCGAAGGGTTGAAGACAGCTAAGCAAAACAGAAAAATGCAGGTCAGAGCAAAAATTAGTGTAATACACTGAAACAATAATTTACATATTTAGTGTAATGTGGAACTTTGACATGATTTCAACTGTCGAAGGTCAACCATCAAAACAGGTCTTACTGGGGGGGGGGGGGGGGGGGGTCAACTATTATTTAATTGGTAACATTTTATAATACCTAGTCCACTAGGTATCATGAACATTAGGTAAAATGTTAATTTATAAATAATTTATAAACTAAATAAATACATTTATTTATAAACAATAGTGTGTTTGTTCAATTCTAATTAACTAATATTAATTTAAATAAAATGTAAAAAAGAAAAAATTGTATATGCAGAAATTAACACGTTATGTAGAAATTAGTTCATGATATCTAACGTATTAACTAGTGTTTGAATCGGACCAGTGTTTTTTTATAATTCTGTTAATATTTATATTTACCTATTTCCACTATTTAGGTCTTTTTTTGGCATTTTTTTGTGTGACCACTCAAAAGTTTGTTATCAGTAATTTTTTAAAGAAATTAAAAATGACAGAATTTCAAATAAATTTTCAGTATTTCAGTATGGCTGCTTAAAATTCAGCTTTTATATCACAGGAATAAATTACATTTTTTAAAGAAATATTCAAATAGAAAACATTTTTTTATTGAAAATGAATGAATCAAATGAATTCAGCCTTGGTGAACACAAGTGACTTCTTTCAAAAACATTAAAATATCTCACAGACTCCACACTTTTGAACAGTAGTTCATGCTCTCTGCTATCTGAAGTCTGAACTATCATTAATAAAATACATTTTTTACAGTCCTACTAGAGCAACAGAGATCAGAGATATGAGACATGCCCGTGAGCATGTGTGTGTGAAAAGGCCGCATGGCAACTGAATTTAGGCTAATCCCCTTTTGGGACTGTACTGTAGGACAGCAGGCGGAGTGCAGACATCAGCTTCAAGCACAACTTCTGACTCTGAAAAGGGCTTAGCCAAACCACAGTGACCACAGAGAGACTTATCAAAGCTCAGCTGAAGTTTACTTTCCTTTACAGTAAACGGAGGGTAACATTGTGCAGGGTTAAGGGAAAGGAGGCGAGAGAGAAATGAGGAAGCATTATACAAAGGAACAAAGGCATACTGGATCTTTGTATTGTCGTCCTCTGGGTTTACACTACAGCAGTTTCATTCTTTCCTTTAAACAAAAATTCCTGTTTATTATTATCATAGATGCTAATAATAAAAGTGGAATGCAGACAGTGACAGTTTGATGGGGTTAAGTAAAGCCTGGATTGGAGTGCAAAGGAATTTTGCCAATATTTTTTTTTCCTGATCCAAGGGTTTTCTTGCTGTTGTCTTTTTTGTAATCTCTCTGACACACTTTCTAAATAAGACAGGCCTTTTCATTTGATGCAGTTTATCTTAAATTTGCACATCCCTAAGCAATATGGGAAGGATTAAAACGATTAAAACTTAAAACGATTCACTATTTTTCTGCTGAAAGGTTATATTGCAATGCATTGCATACAATATTTCTTGTGTCATTTATTTTAATCCTTTAAGTCCCTAAATTGTTTCATTTTATTCTTAATGTAAAAGGTGTTTTAGAAGTATTTTGTTATTAAATTATATTTAATATATAATAAAATTACACAACTGAACTAATTATGCATGCACAAATAATAATCCTTCTGATGCATTTTCAGTCCCCCAGATACAAGATGTTGACCAAAGATGCAAAAATGGAGAGGTCAGCTTGATTCGTTTGTTTGCACCATAGTTTGAACTCAAATTATCTGATTGAATTCTTTAGCAGAGTTTGCTTTTCCAACAGGATGCCTCTCAAAACTGGCATGGCAAAACCCAACAAGAACTGGAAGTACCTCAGTCGAGAAGCTGCCGTTCTGGACAGAGAAGACCCCTGCAAGACTTGGGACTCTCCTATCATGCCTCCCAGTTTCCTTGGTCTGACCTTAAACCAGGAGCTGACCCAGAGAAGCCATACTGCTCCAGAGAGAACCAGCATTCGTATATATTACAGCCCACCATCAGCAAAAAGGATCCAAATGAGCTCTCCGATAGCAGCAGAGGAGGAAGCGCTTGAGGAGAGCCAGGAACCACATTTCAATGCTGTTTCCTGTGGCCTTGTAAGCCAAGACTGGGCCGCTGCATATGAAAACTGGCTGGGTAGCCTGCCGTTTGACTGCCAAAGTTTGATGGAGAGAGATTCGAACGCTGTCATCAGTTCTACATCCTCTTCTGGTCTTCAGACCTCCAGTATGACATCCCCTTCACGCTTGGCTTTCAATAACTTGGACGTCTCAGCCAACCTGAGTGATGACATGAAGGAAATCACAGCCAGTGTGCTGCAAACCTCCCAATCCAGCCCTCTGGAGAGGAAAAGAGCAAAGGATTTTGGGAGCAGTATGGTGAGTGTTGTGAGTATAGGAACGCAAACTCAATCCCAACCACAGGTGACCACAGTTGGGCTACAAACCGATGGTCCTCGATGTCTTCATGCTGCGAAGCACTGGTCGCCCCGAGTGACCTCATTTGTATCTTCAAGAACCCCGCAGACATCAGTGTCACTGGAAAGGGTCCCTGGTCCAGCAGATCGGTTTCAACCACAGAGCACCTCGCCAAAAATACAACGCAGACACTCTGCATCCTCTCCGTTTTCCTCTAAGTCTTCCTCTTCTACATCCCCCTCATCCTTTTCCTCTTTCACCACATCCTCTTTGTCCTCCTCCTCATCTCCGAGCGCCTCCTCCAGGCTGGATTATGGAGCAAAAGAGCGTGGTTTGTGGGCTCTGCCGCAACGTGCTTCGACACCTAGCAGGCCGAGTTCAGTATCAGTGCAGGGCAGCGATAAACATGGCGGCCGTAAAAATGTAGGCGTTCACAAATATGGTCTGGTCCATGAGTTTCTGCGCAATGTCTGTGGTCGAGGAGAGAAGACCAACCCGGAGATGGAGAAAGCGCCAGCAGCTCGTAGGGATCACATCGGTCTGGTGGGTTCAAAGAAATCTGAGCATCCCCCGTCTCGTATACCAGCGGTGCCACTGGTCAGAAACGACAGCATCACCAAGATTGTGAACCGCAGATTTATGAAACAAAGCCAAAAAGAGGAGACGGTGTGTCAGAGCCAGATCCAAACTCAGCGCCAAATCGACAGGGGTTCAGTCAGAAAGAACAAGGGCTTGGAGGTTAGTAGCAAAGTTGAACCCATTCAATAACAACAAACTAAACTGAAGGTGTTGAGGAAGTAATATTTCAGTGAGACTAAAATGGTTGCAAAAATAATAAGTGCGACAGTAATTTGAAATCTAGTCACTCTGGAAACACTCTGTGTGTCCATATGCGGTTTTGTCAGGAACGAATGATTCTTATGTATCAACATTTTTTAGCAAGTCTGAGATTCACCAAATGGCCTCGGACTCACTTGTTAGTCACTGTTTGAATCAGACTTGCTCGGAGCTGTTATTGAGTTCACAACTCACTTCCTCAATAAAAGTTATTTCTTGGTATGTTATGTATAGATTTGTGAGTCAATCTGTTAACTGACTGTTATCCATATGACAATGTGTATTTTAAAGATACATATTACATATTTTACATATTTGTTTTATTTTTAACAAGCAGAAATATTCTTTTAAAGCAATGTTATATACAGTATATGGGACACATACAATCAGGAGGATCAAATTGGAACTAATTTTTATTAAATACAACTAGAAAATATACATTATTACTATTTTGCAGAGTCTTTGTCTTAATGTGACATGATTTGTTATAATGCTGAGCGTATCTCCTAACTCTTTGCCGTCTCTTTGCCAGGATGGAGCCTGTGACTGCAGCTCACGCGCTTTGACATCCTGTTTTGCTCGACCCTCACAAAAAAATCTCAAGCACATTCACAGTCAAAACAAGCCCCGCCCACACGAACACCCCCCATCCCGTGGCAAAGGTGATTCTCTTCCATAATGGGACTGACACCACGACACTTCTGGGATCTACAGGCTTGCATGGACAGATTTCTTCAGAACTGGAATGCCCATCATTCATCAATTTCTACATATTCCCCACACCTTTTGTGTTTCGCTAAATTGATTATGCCTTCAGTTCCATTTTAGCATGTTAAAATCCATTCCAAAATCTTTCCCTCAAAATCAGCGTAAAAAACATGAAAAAGGTTTGCAGATGCCTTCTGGGACTGGGGTTAGGGAAATGTCTCCAGGCTAAGTTACTGGCTTTAATATTCGTAAAAAAAAATTACATTTAATAGAGAAACTAAATAGGGCTTGTACAGAATTAATCATGTTGTTATTGTGCTGAAGTTCCCAATTCCAGCAAGATCCAGTTTTTACTTTCTAGATCCTTGATGAACTTTACTTTGTTAAATTTTAAATAAATATAATTATGCAACATATCTTAAAACAATGTATGATTTATTATTCTTTTTTTATATATAATATTTTATGCATAATAGAATGTGTGTAGAAACATTATTGTTTAAATGTTTTTAGATGCCTTATGAATGTGACCTGTTTCTAATAGCTGTCTTAAATGTAACATGACCTGTGTTTAATATCTGCAAACAACAGATTTGGGGGCCAAGCACCTTAATCTGAGATTAGGTTTGTGAATTGTAGCTATTTGAAATGTGACACTTTTTATGGCATGTTAATAAATGCAGATCCATGTCATTGTATTAGTCCCCTATTACTGTGATTTGAAGATATGTCATCCTAATAATGATATTTAAGGTTTCGCTCTTTAACTGCCCCTAGCCACAATGTGTTAAGTAGTTTTAAATTTGCATTACTTTTAATTCCATTAAACAATATATAGAGGTATGCAATTAAACAAACACCCTGATTTGTCAGAAAAAATTGTCCGTTTTTCTCTGCTTCTATATTTAACTCCGTTTTCATTTTAGGGGAAGTCTTTGTGATAGCTGCTTATTCACATTTTCTTGAGACTAAAATGCACACAATCACTCTTAAATGTTCTGAAGTAGGCTTTTTGTATAACTGTGTATATCGAGATGTCGTATAAATGCACGATAAGTTAATTTAGTTTTAATCGATAGCCATGCAGTTATGTCAGACGTAACCTTTCTACAGAGGTGTTGACGATTTTTTAGATTCGTGTATTTGTAGCGTCCCCTAGTGGGTAGACAGTGACACAACAGCATGAGCGAGCCATGTGTCCATATTTAGTTTATACATATTACATATAATATAAAACAATTTATTAAATAGCTATTTTATCCATACCTTTAAGGTATATGCATATAGAAAAAAAAAATTAACTTACAATGAGAAATAAAGAGTGTGACAACTAACTAAATTCTCAGCTCACGTAGTGTAAAATAATCGTTTTTGTAACACTGCATATTTAGTCTATATGGTGGAACATTTGTTAATGTTTTATGTAGACTAGTCCAGGGGTTTTCAAACTGAGTTCCGAGGACCCCCCGTGGCTGGGTGGTCCGTAGAAAAGTTTAAAGAAAAACAATATAAAAATGTACGTGTAAAAATAAATAAATAATTATCAATTAGTACAGCACTATGAGTAGAAAAACAACGTAATATAACTAAATAAAATCTAAAAGATTTCTAAAAATATAGGCAATATATTTAGAATATTAATGTTACAGTTTAATTTGGGGGGCTTTATTCAAGAAAATATAGATGCCCTTTTACAGTTTTTCTCAACTGCTTACATTTTCAAAACTTTGCCTCTTTTTTTCAAAACTTTACACACAAATCCAAGCAATGCACACACAAAATGCCTCACATTTCTTGCAAAATGAAGCACTGCATTCACAATATCACAAACACATCTCAAGAGCAAACATTTGTCTTACATTGCAAACACCTGCGCCATAATAAATGTTTAGATATATCATATAGCCTACACACAGTTATTCAAAACCTAAAGCTCTTCTGTCATGAGCTCCTATGTACATTTCTGTACAAGATTGAAAGTAAACAGTTTTTCTCAACTGCTTACATCTTCAAAACTTTGCCTCTTTTTTTCAAAACTTTACACACAAATCCAAGCAATGCACACACAAAATGCCTCACATTTCTTGCAAAATGAAGCACTGCATTCACAATATCACAAACACATCTCAAGAGCAAACATTTGTCTTACATTGCAAACACCTGCGCCATAATAAATGTTTAGATATATCATATAGCCTACACACAGTTATTCAAAACCTAAAGCTCTTCTGTCATGAGCTCCTATGTACATTTCTGTACAAGATTGAAAGTAACTGGAAGAGAGATGTTGAAAAAGTCACGGTAAACACGAAAGCAAGACTGAAACCATTTTTTATTATTTTTTTTTACTGTATGCATTTGTGGCTGTGAATACAGTATTACACAGTACAAAAGAAAATAAATACATCAACCACGTGTAGATGTGTATTTATTTATAGGCCTATTCTAAAGCCATGATTGGTTGGTTTTAAGTAAAGCAATGAGTGCTTGCACATGTGAGGAGTTTAGTGTGAGGCACTTTGATTGGTTGTGTTTGAAAAAGGAAATCAAAACACTTCCTGTTAGATTTTTGTGTTACATCGAGAATTGTGTGTTGTGTTTTGCAAAAAGTGTTTTATGAAATTGAAAAGGCCGAGAATTTGTGTAGCCTATGGTTTTGCAGATTTGGTGTGTGGTTCTGGTGTTTGAGTGTCAGGTTTCAGAAGTTGTGTGACAAGTAAAGATTTTGTGTGTAAGCAGTTGAAAAAAACTGTAATATTTAGATGGAGGTTAGTGTTGGGTCGTTCTTGAACGATTCGTGTTCATTTTGCTGAACGAGACTCAAAGGTCCGAGTCGGTAAAATGATCCGAACTTCCCATCACTAATGGAGGTAAGGTACCTGTCACGAAGCTTCCGTAGCATCAAAGAAATTAAAACATCTCGGTTACGTATGTAACCTTGGTTCCCTGAGTAGGCTGCCGCAGCACAAACATCTTCCGACGAAGACCCTTTAAAGAAGGCCTGAGAAGAAGCCACTGCTCTTGTAGAATGAGCACGCACCCCTAGAGGCGAAGTCAAGTCACGCGCCTCATAGGCCAGAGAAATAGCCTCCACTATCCAGTGTGACATCTGCTGTTTAGTGACAGCAGAACCTCTGCTCTTACCACCAAAACACACAAACAACTGGTGCCCTTACTGGGCAGAGACTCAGGCTAACCTGAGATCAGCTGGGGAAAAAGCCTCTAAGACCACTTGCTGAAAGCGAAACGGAGTCGAAGCGACCTTAGGAACATAATCAGGCCTAGGTCGCAAAAAGACTTTAACCAGCCCTGGGGCAAAGTCCATACACAAAGGGCTGATGGAGAGAGCCTGCAGATCCCCTAAGAGGCCTACGGGGCTGAGACGGAGTGCGGCTGGACAAAAATCGATCGTCCAGTTTCGACTGGGACTGAGTTTGCGCCGGCTCGCTATCCCACTCTAACCCCAGCTTATCCACAGTGCGCGTTACAACGTCTAATAGTTCGCTTTAAGACGGGGAAGTGCGTTTCTCCTGTCCACTCGGAGGGAGAGAACTGCACAGTTCGCCCAATAAATCCTCCGAATCGGAGGCTGCTGTGGACAGCACGTCTTCATCATACGGCATACAACCGAAAGACATCGCATCGCGAGCTTCCGGGGTAGGCCGCAAATTATCATTAACGAAGACCACGGGATCCCCGTAGCGCTCTTCGAGCGCTTGCACATGGCCCGGAGAGAGCGAGAGAAAAGGAGAAATCTCTGTTGACTCGCCCTCTAAACGCCTCGGTTCGCATGCGTCACCCCAAGCGACCATCTCGTGCGGCGCCTCGGCAACCACAGAAACGGAATAGCGGGGGTTAGACGCGAGGCCTACTTTATTTGAGAATTAGCCGTAGGCTATCACAGTGTCGACAATCAGAAAGGCCGCTAAGCATTGCACGCACCTGTCATGAGTGTCTCCTCCTGCGATGAACCTGTCACACGGCTCGATGCATCTCCTGTAGCTCATCGTGTCCGCTGAAGAGGAGTAAACTGCTCTTTTTAGAGAAATAGCTAAGAACACGACCTTTTTTTTTTCTTTTTTTTTTGCTTTCCTACGGGCGACAGGTGATTTGCTTCCTGAAGGAAATGAAATCTGATGAAAATAGCGCGCAGCACGCTATATAGCTCACCTACGTGCGCTTTGGGGGCGGTGCTAAGCGCTATTTGGCCAATGAATTGGCGTGATGGTATAAGGGCTTCAGACATTCGTCACACCGAAGGTGTTCCCAAAGCGATGACGTCATCGCAACATCGAAGTGAGCCTATGAGAGGGAACTCGTGTTTCTGATGTTTTACTGCAAGTTCCAGGTCGGCTTTTATTATGAAAGAACACACGTCAGACGTCACGCCACTGCACCGCCGCTCACGCGCAGCACTGCGGATACTGTGTGCCGACACGGTGGTGAATTTCGGTCCGTCTCAGAGCCGTGCTGCGGTCATCATGGCTCTCTACCACTATGTCACCCAAGAGCAACTCTTGGGTTTTGATAAATATAAGGTAAGGCCGCTCTTATTCTTTAAAATGTGTAGGACTTTAGGGTGTCGGCTAGCCGAGCCGTGCTGTTAATGCTATCATGAAGCATGAGGTCTGCCGGTGTGTGTCGCTCTCTAGAAAGGACAACGGCGGCTTATTACCACTTATAAAGAGAAATAGTATATTTTCCCCTCGAATTTGTGGGATGAAATGATACACAATTTAGTTATTAGTATATATACATCCAACTCAAAGGTTTTAAGGACATATTAAGTGTTATTAACCGGTTAATTAACTGTCGTTCCACAGTGACTTGAAACCGCCGGTGAAAGTAGATATTCAGTTCTAAACCATAGTTTTACCAGCTAAACACGGTGTCCAGTTTTGTTGTAGTTGGTCTACATGCGTTGTTGTCGGTTAGTTTGTAAATTGGGTTGAATTGTAAAGGGATGGGCTCCTGGTTCCGTCTCTTAACAAGGATCTATGGTGGTAAGGACATCATTTGCATGTGAGACACAAGCTCCCTGTGCTTTCACTTTAATTGTTCGTTGTGTTCACTTGAAATTCAGGTGTTACTGTATTTATAGCAGTGTAGTGTCAGAGTCCTCTGATATAATTTACAGAAGAAGAAGCACCTGAAAGGATTGAGATGCAAAGCTCTTTCTTTATCCAATTATTAACCCCTTTGCTTGCATAACCCGTATCTGTTTTGTTCATTATTATAACTTCTTACTCTGTGGGCGTTTGTCTTGGACTATCTATCTATCTATCTATCTATCTATCTATCTATCTATCCACTTACTTAATCTATAATTCTTAATCAATATGGAGTAGTTTTAAAAGTATTTTTAAGTGATGCTTTTATTCAGCAAGAAGGCATTAAAACATAATGTTATAAAATATTTATTTGTCAAATAACGGCTGTTCTTTTGAACTATTGTTCATAAAACAATCCTGAAAAAATGTATCAAGGTTTTCACACAAATATTAGGCAGCACAACTGTTTTCAACAATGATGATAATAAGAAATGTTTCTTGAGCACCAAATGAACATATTAGAATGATTTCTGAAGGATCATGTGACACTGAAGACTGGAGTAATTATTACTGAAAAATTAGCTTTACAATCACAGGAATAAATTAAATTTGTAAATAATATATTATTAAAATGGTACACGGTTATTTTAAGTTATAATATTATTTCACAATTAGGGCTGCACAATGAATCGGATTTCTAATCGCGATTACAATTATGGATGCCACAATTACGTAATTGTTCAAAGTCCACTTATGTTATTCTGCATGCTTAAGATGCTTTTTTTTTCTTTCTACATGTTATCTTAAGGGTTTTTCCCATTATTTAAATTTTAGTTTTAGTATAACATTATAATACCATTCATATTTGTACTTTTTTATAATTTAAAGAAGAAAACAATCCGATGTATAGTTGACATTTGAGGATTAATACTATAGAAAAGCACTAAAACTTTTTCAGTTAAAGTGTTTTCAGCTTGTTTTTTTTCATATAAAAATACGGCATGCAGTTGCATCAAACAATGGTATAAACATCATTCAGTGTAAATTGTGATAATCGTAATTAATAATCGCAATTACAATTTCAAGGGAATAATCGACAATTATGATTTTTGTCATAATCGTGCAGCCCTATTCACAATATTACAGTGCCATTATGTGTGTTCAACAGGATCCAACAGAATGTGCTTATTTAATTTATTAATTATAAATTACTTGCTAAAAATGAACACAAAATATCTGAAAGATTATGTCTATAATAAGAAATGTTTCTTGAGCACCAAATGAACATATTAGAATGATTTCTGAAGGATCATGTGACACTGAAGACTGGAGTAATTATTACTGAAAAATTAGCTTTACAATCACAGGAATAAATTAAATTTGTAAATAATATATTATTAAAATGGTACACGGTTATTTTAAGTTATAATATTATTTCACAATTAGGGCTGCACAATGAATCGGATTTCTAATCGCGATTACAATTATGGATGCCACAATTACGTAATTGTTCAAAGTCCACTTATGTTATTCTGCATGCTTAAGATGCTTTTTTTTTCTTTCTACATGTTATCTTAAGGGTTTTTCCCATTATTTTAATTTTAGTTTTAGTATAACATAATACAATTCATATTTTTATTTTATTTTTTATAATTTAAAGAAGAAACCAATCCGATGTATATTTGACATTTGAGGCTTAATACTATAGAAAAGCACAAAGTTTTTCAGTTAGTGTTTTCAGCTTGATTCTTTTCATATAAAAATACGGCATGCAGTTGCATCAAACAATGGTATAAACATCATTCAGTGTAAATTGTGATAATCGTAATTAATAATCGCAATTACAATTTCAAGGGAATAATCGACAATTATGATTTTTGTCATAATCGTGCAGCCCTATTCACAATATTACAGTGCCATTATGTGTGTTCAACAGGATCCAACAGAATGTGCTTATTTAATTTATTAATTATAAATTACTTGCTAAAAATGAACACAAAATATCTGAAAGATTATGTCTCAAACAACTAATAACAGTATTATTGCTTTTTGGTAATTTTTCCATAGTTGTCATTTTTCTGTTATATTTTCATAATGCATATATTATGTTTTTGTTATGTGATAATTATTCATTTATAATCCATGAAATAAACAATTAAATCTTTAATTTTAGGCATCTCTGAAGAGGATCATTTGGTTAAAAGGTTGTGGAACTGAAGGGGTCGAGAGGTTGAATTCCTGGGTGTGATGCAGAGTTTTGTGTATTTCTGAGTGGTTATTTGACAGAGCTTGTGAATGAAAGTGTCTCTGACCCTGTGTGTCTTCTGGTGTAATGTCCTGTTGGCCTGATAAGGTGTGTTTATTTATTGCCAGTGTTTTGGGCTGTTAGTTGTACAGGCTGCTGAGTTGGTATGTGCTATTCTTGCTCTGCATGTTTGCACATACTTGTAGGGGTCATTGAACATACATGACTGCACCCTCATGACTACCGCAGTGTGTTTATTTTACCCCTGTATCTGATCAGGTTATCATATTTAGTTTTAATTTCAGCATTTTTGTGTATATTTAATTAGTGGTTTTGTATACATTATTTTCCTAATTTAATTGGGGGTTTTTTTAATCATCAAACTGTGTTTTTACCTAAGCATATTGGGCTGAATAAGCGTATATTTTAGAAAGCATATTTTTCAGGGGTTCAAGGGTTTTGGTTCAGGCCTTCCCAGATCCAGATGTTTTCAAGGCTTCAATAGCCGCCCAATCCCTAAGTGTTAGCTCACACAGTGAACACATGCTGGGGAAGTGGTTGAAAAGTGATCTGCCTTCATCACCACTGAATCATACCACTTACTATTGTGTGCTGTAGTGAAGAGTTTCATATTTGATAGACATTATTATATTCAGGCCATTTTAAATTGCCTTTAGGTTTGAACTTAAGAATTTATTTTCCAGTTGTACCTACTACTTGTGCAGAATCTAATTAGAGATTTATTGATATTATGTAGTTGACATTTGAATCATCTCATCTGAAGTTTGTAGACACCGTGCAATATTAGTTGAGACGGCAGAAACGCTCTGTTGTTAACACTTTTCAACATTCACACTTCTGGACCTGAGTGTTAATGTGCTGTCTTATTCTGCATATCTTGTCATCTCTTTTTTTTTTTTACAGTACAGTGCGGTTGACTCCAACCCCCTCTCTATCTACGTCATGCACCCCTTCTGGAACTCAGTAGTGAAGGTGAGAGTCACGACTGTCGTTTTGAATGTTACCAGAATATAAAAGGCCATCCAGTCTCTCATATCAGATAAAATAATAAGAATTTATTATTATAGATTAATATTTATTTGAATAATAAATTCAATATACTAAATAAACTATTTAAATAATGCATTTATTTTATTTATTTATATAAGTGGATGCATTAAAACTCAAGGCTGTGAATATGATAAACAGCAATATTTTATTAATTTTCATATTTTAAAATTGTATATTAACTATACAGTATTAAATTTCAATATCAATATCAAATTGTAATATTTCGATTTACAATTATTTAGTAATTATTTAAAAATTTAGTATAGCATTTTATTTATTTTTGTAATTAGAAATTTAGAATTTTAGTATAGCATTTTATTTATTTTTTCATTTATTCATATTGTATATTAAAATGTTTTTATTGCATGTTATTTTGTGTTATAAAGATGCGTTTATGAAAATGTGTTACTTGTCTGTCAATGTTTATAAAAATATTTCGAATCCATGAATGTATAGAGGTATTTTACATGAAAAGAATAACATTACGTTGTGTTTTGCTTTCATTGAATTGCATAAATGCAACATTAATGAATGTTCCGTCTGGCTCTGATTACCTGCGAGAAAGATCTGACCATTTGCAGCTTGCTAATTTCTCTCTTTCTCGCTCTGTCTCAGATCTTGCCCACATGGCTTGCCCCAAACCTCATCACATTTACAGGGTTCATGTTCCTGGTACTCACCTTCACCTTGCTGTCCTTTTTCGACTTTGACTTTTATGCCTCAGGTGAGGTCAATAAACTGTGTGTGAATTATTGTTTTGGTTTTGATGCACTAGTGAGAGGGTATTGTGGGTAATGCTCTCTTTCTCAAAGCTTAGAGACTTTAACACATTTGTTATGATTACAACAATAACCAATTAATGATTGTGCAATAAGAAAAAGGTTGTGCAAGTACATTCTTTTTTTATATGACAAGGATCAAGGTCTCACTTCCAGCTCATCATTCTCTCAATTATCAGCTAACCATCTGTTAATACACAGCCACACCTGTGCACATAGCAGCTCCCTCACATATACACACACTGTACATTCAGTGTTGTGGAGTAAATAATTAAAACAAGTTCTGCTTTCAAAAAAAAAGAGTGTTAGTGCTAGTAACAAATCTGATTCCATTAGGTAGTAATGAAGACAAAACATTTTGAAGTCATAGTGTTTTTCACTGATATGTAGCATTGAAAAGTTAAATTCGTTCTTCATAAATGAACTAAAAATGTAGGTATTTTTATGGGTATATTTTATAGCAATTCATTTAGTTTAATGCTGCTGTTTACTATTTTTGGACTTATTTTAAGTGATATAAATGATTACATAACATAAACAATGCGCTCAATTAATTATGTAATGTATTGTATGTATGTTTCATTTTTAATGTAATTTGTTGTGCAATTTATTGTATATTTTCAAGTTTAATGCTGTTATCATTGCTGAGTTGGGAAGTCGTGGCCTAATGGTTAGAGAGTCGGACTCGTAACCCAAAGGTTGTGGGTTCGAGTCTCGTACCGGCAGGGATTGTAGGTGGGGGGAGTGAATGTACAGCGCTCTCTCCCACCTTCAATACCACGACTGAGGTGCCCTTGGGCAAGGCACCGAACCCCCAACTGCTACCCGGGCACTGCAGCATAAATGGCTGCCCACTGCTCCAGGTGTGTGTTCATGGTGTGTGTGTGCACTTTGGATGGGTTAAATGCAGAGCACTAATTCCAAGTATGGGTCACCATGCTTGGCCACATGTCACGTTACGTCACGTCACTTCACTAATTGAGATTGTACCTACTCACAAATGACATTGATTATTTTGTGGGTGTTGTTTTGTGGCACAGGGGAAGGCCATACACATGTGCCAAGCTGGGTGTGGATAGCTGCTGGTTTGTTCAATTTTCTGGCCTATACCTTAGGTAAGTGTTTATTTTTTTTTTTTAAATGGTACTAATGTTAATTGACCAATCTGTCAGCTAGTGGTCTTAATCTTTCTGAATCATTTTGCAAAATCTATTTATTCGTGTGTAAGTCACATTTTTGCTAATAGAGTTTGATTTGAAAGATTGTTCAAGTTGTTGTTCAGAACATTCACAGTTCTCATTAACACCGCACATACCTGTATGATATTGAACACACTCCTTTATTTAAAAAGCTAAGCATGAGCTAATTAAGTTTTTTGAGTTGTTTGATTAATATTATCAGCAAAACGGACAATATGTGACCCTGGACCACAAAACCAGTCTCAATGTATGTAGCAATAGCCAAAAATACATTGTATGGGTCTAAATGATTGATTTTTGGACATTAAGTAAAGATCATGTTCCATAAAGATATTTTGTAAATTTCCTACTGTAAATATATCAAAACGTAATTTTTGATTCGTAATATGCATTGCTAAGAACTTCATTTGGACAACTTTAAAGGCGATTTTCTCAATATTTAGATTTTTTTGCACACTCAGATTCCAGATATTCAAATAGTTGTATCTCGGCCAAATATTGTTCTATCATAACAAACCATACATCAATGGAAAGCGTATTTATTCAGCTTTGATATGGTGTATAAATCTCAATTTCAGAAAATTGACCCTTATGACTGGTTTTGTGGTCCAGGGTCACATATTAGGTGTGTTAGGATTCATTTATACTAGAGCCTAATGCACAGATCTGATTTTTGACACAAATCTTATTTTTAGTCCCACATGTGTACATTTATAAACCTACTGACGTGTGCTGTATACTTTAATAACTCACTAGCCCTTTAACCAAGAAGGACATTTGACCGTAATACAGCCACAGAAGACACATTTGCATATGAAAATATGAACACTCAGCAAATTTGTAGAGGCTTGCTTTTTAACACTAGTTTTTTAAGAGAAGAGCTGTGAACTTGTCTAGGATCCAGAGAATTTCTGAAACATGTGAATGTGGTAGCAAGATTGGAAACATGTTTGTGTGGGAATGTGTGTATGCTTGCATATATGACTTTGAAATATATTTTGTTGTGTGTGTGTACATGCAGATGGTGTGGACGGTAAACAGGCTCGGAGAACAAACTCCAGCACTCCGCTGGGTGAGCTGTTTGACCACGGCCTGGACAGCTGGGCATGTGTGTTCTTCGTCGCTACAGTGTACTCTGTCTTCGGACGGGGTGAGACAGGCGTCGGAGTGGTGATGCTGTATTATCTGTTATGGGTCGTCCTGTTTTCCTTCATACTGTCCCACTGGGAGAAGTACAACACTGGGATTTTGTTCCTGCCCTGGGGCTACGACATCAGTCAAGTGGTAATTTATTACCTAAAGATAAGCTCATGAAAAGAAAATGTTTTTTATAAACTATTAAAATATAGCCATAAACTATATATATTATGCAATATTAATGTTATATTAGTAATATGTAATATTATACTAAAATATACTAATGTATAAAGTTTTACTTGTAAAATTATTTATTTTAATATTAAAATTGCACTGTCGTTCAAAAGTCTTGAGATAGTTTTTAAAATTTGATCAAAAATACAGCAATATTGTGAAATATTACTATTTAAAATAATTGTTCCCTATATATATGAGAATGAGAATGAGCTTTATTGCCAGGTATGTTTACACATACGAGGAATTTGTTTTCGTGACAGAAGCTTCCACAGTGTAACAGAATGACAGTGACAGAACAAAAAACACAGATAATAAAAAATAAAAAATAGAACAAGTAAATAAGGAATAAAAATATATAAATCGACAATTGTATGTGCAGGTATATTACAATAGACAGTTTTGTATGTACAGGTACTGTATATTATGTGCAAATTTTAGGTGCAGACTGAGTATGAGTGTTAGATAAATAAGTGTATGAGTGTATAAATAGTGTGTGTTCCACAGTTATTGTCAAGTGTTCATAAGATGGATTGCCTGAGGGAAGAAACTGTTCCTGTGTCTGGTCGTTCTGGTGCTCAGTGCTCTGTAGCGTCGACCAGATGGCAACAGTTCAAAGAGGGAGTGTGCTGGATGTGAGGG